ATGCTATTGCATTCAACTGAACGAATATATTTCATATCCATTCTAGGTATTGAGAACACTGCAAAAAAATAAAATACATCAATCACAGTTCATATTTTGGACACCCAACTACTATATGAACTATATGAAACTAATTTAAGTATTAAAACTGGAATCCTAAAAGTCGCGATGTAGATGAAGACAGAGCATCTACCGTCCACGCAAAAAGCCCGGAATTGATCTGGGCTGGGCACTAATTGAATTAAATCTTTTTTTCATGTTTATTTAATTATTAATAAAATTCATAAATTATTTTAAAATTAGTTATTTTGTCTTAATAACCTAAAATATTTTTTAAATTTGTAGTTTCTTTAGTGGGCCGTAGAAAAAATATACTGTACAACTCGAGTAGATTGTCCATAATATCGCACTTAGACGATTGTGCTCAAACTTCGTCTTCGTGCGATATTGCCATCATATCCACTCTTATTGCACTTTATTGTAAACCCTATATAATATTTCACTTATTTTAATGCGCTTGAGGAGCCGAGTTCAACCAACTCTCACATTTGGGGTCTAAAGTGAATAATTACGGAGTTAAAAGATGTTACAAAATAAATTTAAAAAATGTTTCCTTCACCACTTAAGTATAAATCTCCCTGTATATAAAGATTTTTTCAAAGCAAGAAATACAAAGTTACTTACGTGCTGGCCATGAATATTTGCCGGCGCATTGGCCATTATGAAGAGGAGCCTTAAGACTAACCAGTCTTAAACTGCATTATAAATATTATAACATTTTATTTTAACATAATTATTAACATTTCGCTTAATAATTTGTAAAACAAATTTACTATCAACTGAAGTCAAAAAATTTCTCATAACTTTTCATGTTTTAAAAGTTACCAAAATTAGGCACTATAATGCAAATATTATAAGTCCAGCCCATAACATCTCCCCACTCTTTCCACCCAGTTTTTCGGTTTTGACAAAATTCGCGCAGCGGCAAATGCTTCCTATGTTACCTCTATCCTTTCTAACCTCTTTGATTATGGCGTAAATCTTCATGTTGCTAATTTGGAATACTACATATGATGCAAATTTGGACTATTCCAAATTATATTTATCTTTTTACGCCAGAGGGGGGGGTAGTGTTTTTCGATTGTATGTAGATCTACATTATATATAAAATGTCCCTATGTATGTGTGTAGGCATATTTATTGTTTTTCTCGTTTAAGTTCAGTATTTTTGTAGTCAGGTTTTTATCTTTTTTTCCAGCAATCTTTTTTGTAATATTTGATTTTTACCTTTGTTTTAGTAATGCCACCCAAAAAATCTCCTAAAAAGAGGCAGAACTGGAATCCAGAAGATATGGCCGCTGCTGTGCTGGCAGTAAGGGAGAAACAAATAGGATACCTTAAGGAATCCATATACTTTAAGGTACCAAGAACTACATTATTTAGATCTGTTTCTGAAGAAAAGGATACACCAACTGAACAGCGTGTTCGTAAAAATATTGGGCGAAAACCTCTTTTTAATAAACCCGTTGAATCTCTTTTGGTCGAATATGCGCTTACAATGGAGTCCAAATTTTACGGATTAACTCAAATAGATATAAGATTAACTTACCAACTAGCTGTTAAAAATAACATTTTAAAACCCATTTACTTTCAATGCAGCTGGCCGCTATTGGCTAAAGCGGTTTCTGCCGCGAAACAAAAATATTTTGTCTATGCGAAAGGCGACTGGCACGTTATTCGCGAGAGCCCTTGGATTCACAAAAGAACGTATGGATGAGTTCTATAATATTTTAGAACAAGTCTACGAAACAAAGAAGTTTACGGCTGATCGAATTTTTAATGTAGACGAAACATTTAAAAATATCCAAAAATTATTGCTAGACGCGGTAAAAAGCAAATTGGCGCAATTAAGTTAGCGGAAAGAGGTTTTCTTATTACAGTGGTGGCATGTATGAGCCCAGCTGGTATATTCAATAGGCAAAGCACATACGTCTGGATGGATTCAAACTAATCTATTCACACAGTGGTTTGAGCACTTTATTCCATAGACAAAACCATCTGAAAAGTGGCCAGTCTTGCTAATTTTTGACGGGCATTATAGCCATACAAAAATATAGATATTGTTGACATGGTAAGGGATAATAACGTCACGCTGTTGTCGCTACCCCCTCATTGTACTCACAAGTTTCATCCTTAAGACAGATCATTTATGGGCCCTTCAAAGATATATTATAGTGAGGAGGTACGCATATGGCTTCTTGAAAACAATTAGACATTCCAAATAAAATAGCTACCAGTGGGTTTTGACAGGTTATGATATGGTAAAATTATGGCAACCCTGTAGGCCTGGTGATTTGACGAGGCCAATGAAATAGATAGTTACATAGATTGATCATCTATATTTTTCAAAATAAACATAAGCATATGCCTTGAAGTAAAAATGTAGGTAATTATTTTTTTATTATATTCAAAGGCTATATATTGGTTTGTAAACACATTTTTGCAAAATAGAGCAATCTATATAACTATTAATGTATTATTGACCCTGTCAATAACAACAGGCTCGCAGGATTGCCATATCTAAATATTAGTTCCACTTTTCAGCAGTTTGCAAGAAGAGGAATTTTTTAAGTTTGTCCAGCATTTTGTTAGAAACGTCGGTGCTCAAAAGAACATCCAGTTTTGTTGTTGTTAGATTACCATGACTCACACTTATCCATAGATGTTTTAAATTTTTTAAAAGAAAACGGAGTCTGCCATTTGTCATTTGTCACACGGCATGTAATGTCTGGATGAGGAATCATGCATGACAATTTATGATATTCCTAGTATCGTAAATTCATCACTTTCTTTGGCAGCTACGCAGATGAATATTATAATTGGTTTTAGAGTATCAGGCATTTTTTCTTCAACAGGTTAATTTTTGATAATTCTTACCTAACATTATAACAGATCGAAAAGATCCAAAAGAAGGCACTTCTGATCGGCCTGATTTAAAAAAAAAGCACCTCTGACCGGATAAATACAAATGAAGGCACTTCTTATAAAACAGATCTAAAAGAAGGCACCTCTAACCAGTGGCGGTTTGCCCGTAAGGGCACTTGGGCACGTGCCTTAGAATAATAAACCAAAAAAAAATAACTTACATATTTTATATTTTCCTCAATGCATAATATTATTTTATTTAATATTCATCGCAAACCGCATTGGCACGACACTGGGCGACCGGGCGTTGAGCGACGTTCCGAAGATGGGCACAGTAAATGTGTGCCTCTGTTGTTTTATCTTCCATTATGATGCGAAAAACAAAGACAACGACAATATCGCTTAGCAAGAGATGAACACATGCGATGGATTATACGTCACAAGCAGGGCGCTGTCCCAGATTAACCTACATCAGATACGAATGTACGCGGCGGCAATAGCCTAGAGCTCCCACCACTTTCTTCCTAGATCCAGCGGAAGAAATAGTACGGACGATTGCGTTGGCTCCAGTTTCAACAGAACTTGCGACCGTTGAACGTTTAGTCCGACCGCCTAGGTTACAACAAATCGCTGAACTTGTGAATTTGTGAAATTTATTATGACGGGATATAAATTTGTAGATGTTGTACATCTGAAAATAGAGAAAATTTTAATTTTTCTTTTGGTATTGTCTGACTTTTTCGAGGATTTCAAATCTATGTTTGCATATTTAAGAGTATAAAAAATTCTGAGTCTTATAAATAATTTAATGGTGTACATTTTCGCAAATTGTTGGCAAGGATGACCAAATTCTATTTTGTTCATCTCAAAAACGTATGCGTTGGAATTTCAAGGCTTAGTTGACGAACTATCAAATAGAGATATAAATATTTTTTCTAATTTGAAAATATAAAAAAAAAATTTTCGCTGGGAGATTTTAAATTGCCAAACACCTTTTCTTTAGAGTCGTATGCTTTAAAATGCGCTAACAAGTTAGAATTATTAAGTAAATTGCATTCTTCTGAGAAATTTACGCAAATTTCGTAAGAGTGGATATGTAATAATTTTTTGATTAAATAGCCACATACATAGTTAAATGCATTTTGAGTGGTCACATTTAGCTTCCTGTAGTCACATTCAGAAATCGTTATGGCCCCAACTGATTGTTTTGAAATATATTTAATTTTCATTAAGCGGAGAACTTGTTTACCCAATGGAAAAACGAATCCAGGGATTCATTTCCATTGTGTGCCCCACTGCCGCTAGTGCTCACGAGCCCTCACTGCCTCTAACCAGTCAGATCCTAAAAAAAAGCAATTCTAATCAGCCAAATCCAAAAGAACGGACTCCTGATCGACCGTTCTCAATTAATCAGTTTGGGGAAAAAATACTTTCAAAACCTAACAGCCCTATTATGTTGCCTTTAGAAAACCTGAGACCTTTTTCTAAAGCTGCGCCTAGGAAAAATACAATAAGAGGCCGAAAGAGACGATTAACTGCTATACTGACTGACACCCCTATAAAGTACGAACTAGAGCAAGAAAAGGCTGAAGCAAAAAGAAACAAGTCAATGAGCGAAAATAAAAAAAAGCAAATAAAATAAACCAAAAAAAAATAAAGAAAACGTAGAAACTGAAGAAACAACTGATGACGACTAGGATTCTGGAACTAACAGCGGCGACGAAGACGTAGACTGGGCGAATATTGACCCTGTTGAGTTTGATGAGCTAGAGAGATATCCTATAAAAGATGATATTGTGTTAGTAAAACTGCTAGACAGTGAAGATCCCCGCTCGAAGAGAAAACATTTTAACCTAACCTAACCTAACCCCAAAAGAGGGGTAGGTTGGTTTACTAAACAATGGATTCAAATAATACTAATACTAATAAGTTTCTAATTTTGGTCAGTTATTTTTTATATTTTTTTACAATAGAAGTAAGACTTCAATAAATTCTTTAAAAAATAAAAAAAAAACACAAAAATATTATTTTTTTTCTAAAAAGTGTACCTACCATCCCCTGTCTTCTATCTTCAGTAAACGAAGGTGACCAAAAATTATGCGATGAAGCAGAGCCCGAAGCTCAACATTCTACAGAACAAGTAATACTGAGTCCCTATTCAAAAAGCGTTTCAACAGAATCAGGAATACAACAGTTAGCAAGTAGCTCTGGTTTGTGTGTGACATCATCTGATATTTCACCAGTGCCATTACCAAAGAAGCGAAATTCCAATAGAGGTCGAAAAGCAACAAAATCAACAATACTCTCTAGTTCTCCATACAAAAGAGAACTTGAGGAAGCTGCAAAGAAAAAATACCAAATTAACTTTTAGTAAGACTATGAAGAAAGTTAAGCAAGTAGGAAAAATGGGAAAAGGAAAAAGAAACCAAAAATCAGAGGACATAGAAAGAGATAGTAAGTCTAATGCAAGCTTCAATATTTCCACTTCCTCAGAAGAACTTGCCTCGACAATTAATTTAGATAGAAAGACAAAAGATTAGGAGACAGTATGTTTTTTCTGCGATAGGAAATTTAGCGAAGATGCAAGGGGAGAGCAGTGGGTTCAGTGCCTCACATGTGAGTCATGGGTGCACTGTGATTGTGCCGGATATGACGCCGGAACATATGTGTGCGACTTCTGTAAATAATCTGCCTAATTTTCCTTTTTAATAAATGTTTGGTTACCACTTCAACCATGTTTCATTTACCTTTTTAATAAAAAAGCATGCTCTGCTATTTTGGAATATTCTAAATTGGTGGTATTCCAAATTAACTGCATGTTACGTAGACAGAGATTTTTGATACTTTATTTTTCATTAGTGAACAAATACTTTTAAATTAATTTAAAAACTTTGACATTCTCGCATGGCGTAGTACATATCTAGATCTAAGACATGTTAATTATTTTATTTAAAATATTCAACATTTAAATTTTTTGCAATTTTCTTTGAAACTACTCTTCCGAATTACCCTAATTTCCTCTACATTTAGATACATTATGTATATTTTCAATTAATTTATTATTTAATTTTTGATTTATCTATTCGACTGGATCAGACAATTTATTTTTAGAATTCCAAAATATTATATAATTTTTCAATGATAATAATAACCTCTTCTGACTGACGTCAATTAACGCACGCGCTCGAATAATAATTTGAATTTTAAGAAATTCAAGCTAAAAGATAAATTCATTATTAATCTGCAGAATATTTCAAGGCTGTATTTAGTTGTTTCGTAAGTTTGAACAAATTGTTGGTTCCATCAAAGAGCGCCCCACCCTTTGGTTCAGCACATAAATATCTTTAAGGAGTTTTTCTTTTAAATAAATCATAGCTTGGCACAATACAAAGATAATTATAAATAAGCAGACATATTAAAATTAGTATTTTTATTTGTTGTGCAATTCGTTCAGTGCGAAGTCATGGTTGGGGAAGCAAAAGCGATACTAGCGCTAGCTGCGGATAATTCGTGCATTTAAGGGCGATATTTTGTAATTTTGGCATATAAACTAGACGTATACATTTTACTTTTTTACAAAAAAAAAAAAAATAGGTAGAAACAATACAATAAGCAACTAGAGTAGCTGTGTTGTAAATTGTAAATATACTAGCAAAAAAAAGTGGAAATTAAATCAAAGAAATAAATTGATAGCTGTACAGTAAAAAGAAAAATTACCTGTATTTTTGTAATAATAACAGTAATACTGGAAATAGCAGTAGACATCATAATCTTAAAAGGTTATAAATAAACAATAAATTATCATTTTATGATGTTCTTCAACATCCTTTTAATCTTAAATATTCACCAAGAACTAAATTTCTACCTTTGATTATTGGATGTGGCTGGAATGCAATTTTGTAACTTACTGATAGGAAACCATTTTTAATCATTTATTCTCTTTTCTCTCGAACAAAAATGAAAATATAAATAACAATCCCTCTGTTTATATATTTTAACATTACGCTATTATTTAATGGTATTTTTCTTTTATTTTGACAGAATAGGTTAAAGGTCTATTCTCACTATAGGGCAAGCCATGATCAAGTCACGGTCCAGTCACGGTTCAATCAAAAATCATTTGTCATAATTTTAATGCTTTTAAATGAGATTTAGTTTAAACCATTCACACATGCCGGTCATCGAATAAGCAAGCCACGGTCAAGTCAAGGGCCGATCATTTTCAACAATATTTGACCGGACCGTGACTGTCCGTTGACGCGCTGACCGTCTAGTGTGAATGCTCAACGACCAACCAGCCAGACAAAAAAAGGAGCCTTCAGTAGTATAGAAAAGGATAGAGTGATTACTGTATATGTTTAGATTTTCTTTAAAATGGCTGTCGTAAAAAAATTTGACCTGAAAACGTTAAAATTTTAATCTAAATGGTGCGTCAAAAAATTGTTTTGAAATTCTTCAATTTTCATTCCATAATAAACAAAACATCATCCATAAGTTTTTCATGCAACGTAAAAAATTCGCCTTCGGTTTTTCTTTTTTTAGCATTGGATGTTCTTAAATTATTCTTTTTCTTTTATTTTTTATATTTTTTTGCTGTTCTTCCGCGTCCAAAATAAGTGCGATTTTAATTAATGAAGTTGAAAACATTTTTTAAGATGCTACAAGCAAAAATACTCCTGAAAAATACACTCATTCACGATTATCTGCTGTACGTTGGGAAAACTAGTCGAATATGACGATGACATGACCCAATAATGTGAATGTTTTCGAAAAGATCGTGACCGGACCGTTACTTGATCGTGCCTTGTCCGGCTAATATGGATAGACTTTTATTCTTTAAAGACTTATTAGACTTAGGCAACTTCTCATACATTTTCCCGTAAATACTGTTGCCTACCTTTATTTTATTATTTATTATAATTAGTTTTTTGTAGTTTAAGCGATAAAAATATATAATAATAATAAATTAATGTTTTATTTATTTTACAAATCCATATATATTTATTGAAACTAACATATATACTTTTTAATTACGAATTCTATTATAAATTATATTGTCAGTATAAGCAAAAATAGTCCGTTAGTACATAAATGAATTGGCGCAGCAGTCACGCACAGAGTGAATACTGAGATATATTTAACAGTGTACTGGGACAACTTATAAAATCGAAATATCTTAAAATATATTTCTTTATACTTGAAAAAAGAATGGGATATCTTTTTAGTATTAACTCAAAAATCAATTAAATGTAACATGTATATTTGCCAAAAAAATAATTTTATAGACTGCAGTACCAGAAAAAATATATTGATCTGGATAGCTTTTCTTTTCTTCGTTCAAAATTAAAACAAGATTAATTCCGTTGAATGAAACGTAGAATATGATTATGCAAAAATTAGAACGAATAAATTTAAACAATTCAGTTCATATAAATGGTATTCACATAATACGCCGGCAGCTGTAGATAAATCATTAATCAACCACTATAAAGCAATAATACCTATAATATTGCTACCTTGAACTTCACCATGGCGTAAGTTCATAAATTGTATTCCATTGACGGTGAAAAGTCCACACGTTTGGGATCCACATGTTATGTAATCTTTGAAATTTACCAATCAACGTCAATAGATGAAGATGAGTCAAAAACTAAAGATTCCATTTATTTTAGATATCCTGAAATTAATATTAATGTATTAGTGACATGAAATATGAATTGAACAATAATAATAGAATATATTATTATATTAGTATTGCTCTACGAGTGGCGAAAATTATTTGTGACAAGTAAAACAATATTCTTTTTCTACTGTGATCGACAATAATACCCAAGAATGTTGGCTATTCGGAATGAAACTTTTAAGGGTGTCCTTGTTTATATTAACAAGATTAAGACACAAGAGGAACAACGAATCTTAGAGAGAAAATTCATTCTGACTATCGCATTGCTTGAAAACGGTTTACATGTGGGCTAATTATCTCAAATTTTTTACTATATTTTGTGTTAAAGATAATTAAATTACCTATTATATTATTTCTACTTAATCATAGTTTTATTTAGAACTTCATTAAGCAAGATACTAAAATAAAAAATAATAAATGTAAACAAAAGCTTTCGAAGCAATAAACATCTTAAATAAACAATATTACATATTATTAAAAAAAAACAAAAATTATGAACTTTAAAAAAATATAGAAATGTAATACAAATTTCACAGTACGTAAATATGCAAATATCCCAGACAGCACAAGTAAATCCTTTGGATGTCTATCGGAGGTCCATTGATGGACATATCGGCTGTCCAAAGGACGTTCAGCATTTTACCAAAGAATATCGATTGGACTATACAAATGGGCGTCCATTTGGACTCTATGAAAGGTCCATGTATAGACTCTTTTTGTATTGCTTTTGGACAATTTATGGACATCTGATGGACATCATCTCGGACATCATCACCTACATTAATGGGAAATTAAATAATTGCTACTAAGTACACATTTTTATTGTCCTAAATAATATCAAGCATGTATTGGTTTTATACGCACCCATTTCTGTTGACCTTCTCAGCCATTTTCTTAAAGGTATTTCGCTTACTTTTTAAGCAGCATCATTGTCACTTAGCAGTGGTTAAAAAAATACACAACATTTTAATAAACGCCTTGATCAGGCAAAACTGAGAGTTAAAAATGTAAAGCTTTTAAATAATATTAAATTAACTAATACGAAAATATGCATTGGCTAATGTACTTTACCCTTATACTTACATATAAACAAAAAACTGCCCATTGTTTCTTTAAATGACCATTTTAATTTCATACTATCATATGTGAATTCTTTCGGGAGGGTATTAGAAATTATGGCTACAAACATCTTTTTATAAGTTCGTACAAGTCTTTGCCCTCTGGTTTTGGTAAAATTACAATAAAAATATGTATTTGTGAACATTAAAGAGAAATAACTTATGAAACCACTTTCAATGCATTATTTCTTAAACGTTACAAAACGATTATATTTTATTTATTAAAAGTAAAGAAGCTGTAAGTTATTTAAATATAGTTGTATCTTCTAAACAGCCTTTTACTTCTGCTAAAGTCTCATGCAGTACAAATAGAAACTTGAATTTTTTTTTTTTTAGCTTTGGAGGTTTTCTCACCTCTATTAGTTACAATAATAATTGTTTGACATTATCTCGAATTTGCATTATATTAGCTTTTAATAAAGCAATTTTCTTAAATAGGTATATCATTTGAAAAAGGTCTAAAAGAACGGGATTCTTTGAACGTAAATATTAAGTTTAAAACAAAATTTTTAGATTAAATTAGTTTAAAACAAACGATTTGCGCCAACTCATTTTGTACTCAGTATGACT